CGACATTCAACTGAACGGGCAACAACTGTCCGTCAAAGCCGAGCATAAATTCTTAGGCTTAATCTTGGACAACAAGTTTACCTTCGTACCCCACATAAAGTATTTAAAAACAAAATGTTTAAAAGCTATGAATGTTATAAAAGTGTTGTCACGTACTACGTGGGGTAGTGACAGGAAATGCCTCATGAACCTGTATAGAAGCCTTATTCGCACCCGCTTAGATTATGGGGCCATTGTTTATCAGTCAGCGACTCAAAGTGCTTTGAAGATGCTGGATCCCGTGCACCATTCGGGCATCCGCCTTTCTACGGGTGCTTTCCGCACCAGCCCCGTAGAAAGCCTTTACGTTGAGTCAAATGAGTGGTCGCTTCATCTGCAAAGAACCTACATGTCCTTTGTATATTTCCTTAAGGTGAAAGCAGACAAGAGGCACCCCTCATACTCTGCTATTAATGACTTGTCGAGCTCCATTCTTTTTCAAAACAGGCCTTCAATGAGGCAGCCCTTCTCAGTTCGCCTGAAGGGTCTAGTTGAGGACACTGGAGTGTCACTCGAACACAGTTTAATGGCTCCTGTAGCATACCCGCCACCGTGGCAGTGGCAGACTATAGATTGCGATGTGTCTTTTTTAGAAGTTACTAAACATGCGCCTATTGCCCATATTCGAACATACTTCTTGGAACTTCAACACAAATACACGTCCTGAGTTTTTTACAGATGCCTCTAAGTCTAACTCCTCCGTGTCCTACGCTGCTGTTGGCCCTTCCTTTTCGGATGCTGGCCCTCTACATCCAGGCACAAGTATCTTCACAGCGGAAGCTTACGCGATACTTGTGGCAGCTAAACACATCAAACAATCACAAATACAAAAAGCAGTAATTTATACAGACTCCCTCAGTGTGGTAACGGCTCTGAACAGTCTTAAAAAACAAAAAAAAAAAAAACCCTGTCCTCGTTTCACTTTACTCCATTTTATGCATCCTCTACACACTCAACAGACATGTTGTTGTGTGCTGGGTGCCAGGGCACCGTGAGATCCAAGGCAACGTGAGGGCGGATCAGCTCGCTGCATCCGTCCATGAGAGCACCGCTATTACATCTATATCAATCCCGGCCCTTGATCTTAAGCCGTCTCTCAAACGAAAACTCAGGGACTACTGGCAGAGCAAGTGGGATACACACACACAAAACAAACTACACGTTATCAAGCCACACCTTGGCCATTGGCCACCAGTATCAAAATCACGTCTAACAGAGGTAACACTAACAAGACTCAGGATAGGACACATATACACGACACACACACATCTTTTGTCCGGTGGTGATCCACCATTGTGTGATAAATGTGGTGAGGCATTAACAGTTCTTCACGTTTTAATTCAGTGTAAACATTTAGACACTCTAAGAAGACAACACTTCCCACTATCCTACCGACAACATATACCTTTACACCCTGCAATGTTCGTCGGTAGGGAACCGCTTTTTAGTCACAAATCATTATTAGCGTTTTCAAAGGAAATTCATAATTTTCATATCATATACCCGGGCATACCGTAGCACGACCTCTCTAGAGAGGTTTTTGCTGCGGTGGCTACACAGGAAAGCACTTGCCTCACGGCCCTTGCACGCAAGGGTACTAACGTGTGAGGTACTTGTGCTAATGCCATACATGTCCACCATCGTTTTTCATTATCACCAACTTTTGTCACCTATTCACACCACACACACCTTTCACGGCATGGTCATGATTTTATTACTTGTATGTTTTTACCCGCCTTACCGCGAGGAATTTTATGGCCCTTATGCAGCCGCTAATCACAACCATTGTCCACATTCCTGTCTCATGAACTGGCGCTCTTCGGCCATCAAATGGCCCTTGCGCCAAAAAACACCATATATCATCATCATATGAAAATGCAAAAGAAATAATCAATACACTTGATAAAAAAAAAGAAAACAAGTAAAGCGTACATTCAAAAACGGATAAAAAATATACACTCACTCATCACACCTCAAATAAGCTGAATCAAGGTAAAAATACTACACGTGTGCTCTGCACGTTATAGAAAAGAGGGAAAAACAAGTAAAAGAGCGAAAGTTAGATGATGTCAGTATTTTGAATTAGTTCTTGAAATTTCGTGGCGTTTTTTTCTAAGGCAATGTGCGATGGTAGATTATTCCAATAGGTCCGTTACTTTTTCTAATATACTATAATGATTTGCCCGATAACCTTCCATCCACAGTTAGGTTGTTCGCCGACGATTGCACCATATACCGCAACTATAAATGTTTTAATGATCATTCCGCTCCCCAAAGTGACCTTGACCTAACCTTCCGGTGGTGCGAAACTTGGCAGATGTCCCTTAACGCTTCTAAATGCAAGTTAATCCCGTTCACCCGAAAGCATACCAACTCAGCATTTCACTATAACATTAATAACGCCGTTGCGTCAGCTACACCATCTTACCAATATCTAGGCGTTCACCTTACATCGGATCTATCCTGGACTACGCATATAGCAGTTGTCTCACCGAAAGCATCTCAATATCTCGGATATCTGCGCAGAAACTTGCGCAACGCTCCTTCTAACGTACGCGCATTATCATATATTACTTATGTTCGCCCACAGCTAGAGTATGCATCATCCACATGGTCACCATATAAAGATTACCTGGTACGTATATGTTGAAAGCCGTCCAGAATGGGGCAGCGAGATTTATCTCTGGAAACTACGATTATCATTCGAGCATTACCATAATAAAACGAGACCTTGCATTTCAGCCACTGGAAACACGCCGCAACATTACTGTTTTATGTCTGTTTCGTAGGTACATTTATAGTAATGAAATTCACTGTTTGCCACTTTATTCTCCTGCGCGCACTTCCCGGCGCATTCACAATGCACGTAGTTTTATGCGCATTCATCGTCACACGCAGGCATTTGACTTATCATCACTACCTCGAGCCATTGCATATTGGAACGATATTCCGGATCAAGTTGTATTCATTTCTAACATTGAAACTTTTCGTGATAACTGGATTTTGTTGCACTCTAATGTTGTATAACGCTGTTGCACCTTGTTTTTTGTAATCTTTTCATATATACATTTTTTCGTCTGCTTTTCTCCTTTATTGTTTTTTCGTTTGTATACTGATGCCCCCCCCCCCCCCCCTACTCAATGCTCTTCAGTGGGCTTGTAAGGTATTTTGAATAAATAAATAAATGAATAAATAAATAAATAAATAAATAAATGTACATTTGCCCGATACGCCCGCCAGTGTTACCCGCCAATTTTTGGAAACTACCCTGCGTCAAGGTCAGAAGGCTACGCTATATATTCATGTGATTTATTGTGTTGGCATGAGCTCATCTGTTTTCTTTTTCCCTTTCTCTAGCACTATGGCTATTTTTTCCCTCGTGTTTTTACTCGGAATGTTTCCACAGTAACCTTGTTTATTCGATGAATTCTGACCGAGGCTATTATCTTTTTTGTTTAGTATGTGCAGTATGTGTACAATGTGCCTTTGTTTGACCGCTGTGAAGCTGCCCAGCGTATGAGGTGGCCAGGTTCCCCCTAAGCTACTCAATGCAGCGTTTTCGCCTGGTCATCCTCGGAACATTGCTGCAATAAACTCAATTCAGTTCAAAATTACTCTACATTACAAACCTTTTTCCATTACCTTAAACCTATAAATAACGCCGTATAACAGTGATAACGTACGTATAACGTGCACTCGGCATCGACCTACCTATTACCGTGTGACGAGGACATCTGATGACACCATCATTTGATGGCACATTGTCATGACACAGTGACGTCGCATTGACTTCATAACAATGTGAAAAATTCGGGCCATATGTCGTGCCAGAATGACATTATCAGGTGGCGTCATTGTATGATGATGATTTTTTTCAACACTCGCGTTGACCCCGACCATCACTATATCGTGTATGATGTGGCACAGAAAGCTTTCGCATAACTAACTGAAACCGACTACAGTCTCAAAATTTAAAAGCCGCTTCACGCAACGATAAGATGGAAGACGACAGATAACAAAAGAAAAAAAAACATCCCGAGGAAAAAAAAATAAAACCGAGAACTATGGTGTTTGACATAGTATCTTTCGTGTTTTGGTGTGGGGACATTGGAATTAAGAAAACTCTGATTTGGATCTCTCCTGCAGGAATGTTACTATCGGATATGTCGCCCGCATATGCTATATTTTTCACTGATCAATGACGTGCGAAATGTTCAAATTACTGTACGTCACTACCCTACTATCCTAACCTGGCAGAAAAATTCCGAAAATATCCTACAGGTAGAGTAAACACTCTACGGTTGGCAACGATGATTCCCTCTCATATCGCTATTCCGATGGACTGTCAAAGCACGCCGTGTACGAGCAATTTCATGGTCTGGCCACCTGCCAGCACTGCACTATTCACGCAGCAGTTCTTCCGTATACGTTACACTGAGCGTCAACAAAACCTTCCCATGTACTTTTAAGTCATGTATCGCAACAAGATAAAAAATATGTACAGTCGCGGTACTGTCTGTCTAGAGCACGCCAGCAGCCGTTTTTGTAGATTGCCTCGATGCGCTCGTTCGCCTCCGCATTGGAGCACTGTAGCTTTTGTAGAGTTACTGTATACTCTAGGTTTTTGCGTTGCGGGGCGACACCTGGAGGCAGTTTCGGGCTCTGGCGTTGTGTATTAGGAGCATGCGCGGCCTCGTAGCCAGGCTTACCACGCCAGAGCCCGAAACTGATGTCGTGCCGCAGGGCAAGAACCGGCTGCTCGCGTGCTCTGCACAGACGCTGCCGCGGCTGTATACGCTTGTTTCAGCCGTAAGACAAAACACTGAACCAGCAACATTTCTTTCACGACGAGGTTGGTGCGTAAAATGGCCCATAAATCCGCGATTCCTGCTGTCGCAGTGCCAGATTAGTAACGAGCGCAAGTGCGTGACTAATGAATAAACCTGCTTGTTATTTTACAGGCCCTGGTGCAGCTGGTGCAATGCTTGGATCCTGGACAGCGGGGGCTCATATCCTTCAAGGACTTCGCCACGGGTGTCATGGCGCTGCTCGGCGCCAGCAATGGGCACACCGTCGGTGCGTATGCTTGTTCGAATAATGGAGATATATATGGCAACAATGGGAGCCAATATTCACAATGCCTCATTTCAGAGAGTTATTTCTCAGTTGAGAGTTTCCCTGTGGCTGGTGTAGTACTATTTATTTACTCCCAAATAGCTTGGTTATAGCGCCATAAAACACTTATAAAGGTAGCTAAAATTAATAAGTAGTGTTTTGCCCCCCCCCCCCCCCCGCCGCGGTGGTCTAGTGGCTAAGGTGCTCGGCTGCTGACCCGCAGGTCGCGGGTTCGAATCCCGGCTGTGGTGGCTGCATTTCCGATGGAGGCGAAAATGTTGTAGGCCCGTGTGCTCAGATTTGGGTGCACGTTAAAGAACCCCAGGTGGTCGAAATTTCCGGAGCCCTCCACTACGGCGTCTCTCATAATCATATGGTGGTTTTGGGACGTTAAACCCCACATATCAATCAATCAAGTAGTGTTTTGCCTGTTGATAACGAATCGTTGTGTAATGGTTTTTATAGATTACGAGAAAATTATCTTGCCAACTTTATTATTGCGATTGCTTCATTTTACGCGGCGTCTGTACGAGGTGAAGACTGCGTTTTTATGAGCTTTTACAAGTCTCCTCAAAACTTCGCGTGTTTCTTTATACGCAACATGTCCAGCCATTCCTGCGGAATTACTGAAATCCCGTGGTACCGCCGGTATTTGTTTAAATCAGCGAGCACATAGACAACTGGCAGATTTTTTGTATCAAGTACAGAGGAAGTAAGTAGTTCGGAGTTACTATATAAAAAAAGCCCAAGATATGTTAACCAGTCATTAAAGTCTCCACAAGAAGGCGAAAAGGCGTTACTGGCTCGCTCGAGGTAAAGTCTGCAGCCCAAACATTGACGAAAAGGTTTACTTGTGCAACTTCTCCTCGACACGAGTGCCTTTAAAGCACCTTTCGACATAACGCTATAAGTTAACTGCATGATCATGACCCGAGCTAACGGGGGAGTTTTGACTCCTTCCCACGCCTAGCCGTGCGTGGCTTTGCCGTGTCCGGGGAAAAGGGGATCCTGGGGGTTGAGCCGACGCTGGGTGATTGGACCTTTAAGGCCCCCCGGCAGAGGCAACACACCCCTTTGGCCCCGGCTTCACGTAGACGGCATCCCTGCGCTGACCCACCCAGGGGAAATCGGCAGTCGCCTTTTCCTTTCTCTCTCTCCCTACATCTTCGTCTTTATCTCTCACTTTTTATCTGTCCTGTCCTCTACTCTCTTCTGTTTACTTCCAAACTTCCTGGCGGCTAGGGTTAACCCTGTGCAAATAGCCTACCTTGGTCTAGGCGCATTGGGTTATAGTGGCGTTGTACGGCTTGGGTCTGCAGGTTTCAGCATCCGCAAACTTGTAGCGTCCCCTCGTTGGGCTCCGTGGTGGGTCACCGCCAACACTGCTGAACAAAAATAAGACAGACATGCATGGAGCATTCCCCCTACTGTCCGATCGTTCCGGCTTAAAGCGGGTACGCACCGATGATATAAATTTTTTCAACCAGCCAAAAGAAACATTTCCCAACTTCCACGTCATTCACTGCGAGAAAACTGGAAAGCAAGCCAGGACCGTATCACGATTCGTAGTTGCCAGGTGTCTTACTGAAACTCTCGGGGCTGGATACAAAGTAACCAAAATGGCTAGCGGAGACCTTCTCCTCGAAATTCGGGACAAAGAACAATTTGTAAAGCTAGACAGCCTCTCAACATAGGGTGACGTACCGATAACCGTAACGCCGCACAGATCTATGAATATAACTCGCGGAGTGATATCTGACGCAAACTTACTTGACTTGACCGAAACTGAACTTTTGGAAGGGTAGAAGAGCCAAAATGTCACCAATGTACAGAGAATTATCATCATAAGAGATAATAACAAAACACCGACGAAACACTTAATACGTTTGCATCCAGTAAACTACTAGAATCTATTCAAACAGGGTACACGAAGACATCTATCAGGCCGTACATACCAAACCCTCGTCGTTGCTTCCAATGCCAGAGGTATGGCCATGGCCCTAAAACCTGTCGTGGTCGCCAGACTTGTGCACAGTGTGGAGTCCTAGGCCACGTGTCTGAGAACTGCAAACAACCGCCACAATGTGTAAACTGCGAAGGAAACCATGCCGCATATTCACGCTCCTGCACATACTGAAAAAAAAATAAATAATTACGTTCAAGGTGAAGGAGAACATTTCGTTTAAGGAAGCACGGCGAAGAGTCGCTCCATTTTATGGACCTACATAGGCTGATGCGGCGCGTCAGGGGGCACCGCCGCACCAGCCCTCGCCACTCCTTCGGCCCGCGCATACCGAGCCGGCGGTTGTGGCACCTGCCCCCAAGGCGGCTGTAGCCCAGGCTACACCGCCTACTCCCAAACAGAGACCGGAGACTCCAGAGTCCTTGGGTCTCAAGGCCTCACCTCACCAGGCGAGGCCCAAAATTCGAACAGCGCGCACGTGCGGGCATCGCACGTGCGGGCATCCAGTGCATCCGAGGAGGCAATGGATACGTCGGTACCCTTGGTGCCGAAAGAGTGGCGTGGCACCTTGGAGCGGGCAAAAAAAAAAAAAAACAAAAAAACAAAAAAGCAGATAACAGGGCCTGGTGACGGCCCTGTTACGTGAACTCAAACTCCCTGTCTTAACAGCCACTCGCTTTTCGTACGCACAGCACTATTTTACATTCACCATGAACACTCAAATTATACAATGGAACGCCAGGGGCCTTCTCAGAAACGTTGACGACATCCAAGAACTTTTACACGAACACTCACCAAAAGTGCTGTGTGTACAAGAAACACACCTTAATTCAAAACACACAAATTTTCTTCGTAAATACGTTATTTTCCGAAAGGACCGTGATGATGCCATGACATCATCCGGAGGCGTTGCCATCATAGTGAATCAAGGAATTGCATGCACACACAACTCCAAACATCCCTTGAGGCAGTGGCTGTTCGAGCGGTTCTTTTTGATAAACTGATCACAATCTCCACCATTCACATTCCTTCTAGCTATCAGCTGCAAAAATGTGATTTACACTCTTTAATTGATGAACTTCCGAAGCTTTATGTTCTCCTTGGAGACTTTAATGCGCATAGCAGGCTATGGGGTTACTCTCGTTGCGACGCACGAGGTCGACTGATTGGACAGTTCCTTCTCTCGTCGAGCGCGTGTCTCCTAAATCGAAAAGAACCAACCTATTATAATCTCGCTCATAACACCTACTCCTCCATAGACCTAAGCATAGTATCTCCATCTCTTGTGCCTCTACTCCAGTGGAAAGTCGTCAGTAATCTGTACGGAAGTGACCACTTCCCTGTAGTTTTCAGCACAACTACAGCAACTGAGTGTCCACCACGTGTTCCCAAATGGCTCATAAACAGAGCCGACTGGGAACAGTTTTATACCATCGCTCCTCCTCCTCCTCCTCCTCCTCCTCCTCCTCCTCCTCCTCCTCCTCCTCCTCCTCTAGGTTGGAACGACATATGTACTTTGAACATTGATGTTGCTGTCAACTACTTCACAGCGTTTTTGATTGATGCTGCAACAAAATGCATCCCACAAACAAATGGACACCCTGGAAAACGGCGTGTGCCATGGTGGAACTCTGAATGCCGAAACACGCGCAAACAGCAAAACAGAGCTTGGAGGTATCTTCGGAACTCGCCGATATTTTATTGTACATATGTCGATGACGTCCAGCTTGGCTTTAGATCTTGCAATCTGGCAATGTGTGAGCGGCAGGTTCAGTTAGGTTTAAACAAGGTCTCCAAATGGGCAGAGGAAAACAGATTCCGACTGAACCCACAAAAAAGCACGTGTGTGTTGTTCTCCCGAAAGAGAGGCATGCACTCCGAACCCGACATTGAACTGAACGGTCAACGTCTGTCTGTCAATGCGGAGCATAAATTTTTAGGCTTAATCTTGGACAACAAGTTGACCTTCGTACCACACATCAAGTATTTAAAAACGAAATGTTTAAAAGCCACGAATATTTTAAAAGTGTTGTCACGTACTACGTGGGGTAGTGACAGGCAATGTCTCATGAATCTGTATAGAAGCCTCATTCGCACCCGCTTAGATTATGGGGCCGTTGTTTATCAGTCTGTGACTCAAAGTGCTTTGAAGATGCTGGACCCCGTGCACCATTTGGGCATCCGCCTTTCTACAGGTGCTTTTCGCACCAGCCCCGTAGAAAGCCTTTACCTTGAGTCAAATGAGTGGTCGCTTCATCTCCAGAGAACTTACATGTCCTTTGTATATTTCCTTAAGGTGAAAGCAGACAAGAAGCACCCCTCATACTCTACTATTAATGATTTGTTGAGCTTCATTCTGTTTCAAAACAGGCCTTCGATGAGGCAGCCCTTCTCAGTTCGCCTGAAGGGTCTAGCTGAGAAAACTGGAGTTTCACTTGAACACAGTTTAATGGCTCCTGTAGCATATCTGCCACCGTGGCAATGGCAGACTATAGACTGTGATGTGTCGTTTCTTGAAGTTACAAAACATGCGCCTATTGCCCATATCCGAACATATTTCCTGGAACTTCAACACAAATACACACGTTCTGAGTTCTTTACAGATGCCTCGAAGTCTAACTCCTCTGCGTCCTATACGCTGCTGTCGGTCCATCCTTTTCGGATGCTGGCCCTCTACATCCAGGCACAAGTATCTTCACCGTGGAAGCTTATGCGATACTTGTGGCGGCTAAACACATCAAGCAATTACAAATACAAAAAGCAGTAATTTATACGGACTCCCTCAATGTGGTAACGGCTCTGCACACTCTTAAAAAAAAACGCTGTCCTCGTCTCACTCTACTCCATTTTATGCACACTCTACACACTCAGACAACATGTTGTAGTGTGCTGGGTGCCAGGACACCGTGAGATCCAAGGCAACGTAAGGTAGGATCAGCTTGCTGCATCCGTCCACAAAAGAACTGCCCCTACACCCATATCAATCGCGGTCCTTGAT